CAGAAGGCTGGCGGTTCAAACCCACCAGCCACTCCTCGGAGGGAAGGTTGGGCAATCCTACTTCCGTAGTGATACTGCCTCGGAAACCCAAGAAGGGGTCGCTATGAGTCGGGGCCGACTTGACGGCAAATAACAACAACAATAACAAGTCATCATACAACTGTAGGAATTACTTACTATTATTATTCCCATTTTACAGATGGCAAACTGATAATAACTTGCCAGCAATCAAGTGAATTGTGGAGTCAGAATTTGAACCCAGGGAGGATAGCTCTAGAGTCCACCCTGTAACTACTGTGCTGTGCTGTCTCTAGATTGAGAGCGTAGTAGAAAGTTGAGGATCAACTCTCATCAATCAAAACTTGATTTCCTAGGTGTGTTTTGGGATAGCTATGTGATCTCTCTTAGCTTCTGTTTCTACTTCTGTAAATTGTGAGTTTTATATCACTCTGCTCACAAGACTGTTTTAAGAAACAAATTATATGATTGGGGCAGAGAGCTTTATAAAATAGAAGACATGATGTGTATAGCATTAGTATTATTTTTATTGTACTCATTGATGACAAAGGACATCTCTTTGTCATAGTGAAAGTCATGAACTAAGCACCTTCCTCTTTTTCGTACTTTTGAAACCAGTGAAAAATGAAGGTCTGTATCTGCATAGACCATATCTTGGTGAAAGCAATTTTTTTTGTGTGTGTGTGCTTATAATACTGGTGTTACTATGGTAGGTTTGCATTGAGTGTTTTGTTAATAAAACAATTAAGAACTGAGAAGCATGTAAGTTAAAATTCTGAGAATAATTGTTAAACTTTCCTGTCTGCATCAATGAAATTGAACACAATACAAGATTCCCAAGTAGTGGCATTGCAGTAGCTTTCTACTCAGGCTATAAAGGTTGTGTTGCAAATAACAGAAAAACCCAATTTAATAGTGACTTAACCCAGGTGGTAGATTACTTCCCTATAATATTGAAACATGAGAGAAAGATGTAACAGTCTGCTTACTTAAAGATGTATAGCCTTGGAAACCCTATAAGGCAGTTGTACTCTGTCCTATAAGGTCAATACAAGTCAGAATCAACTCATCAGCATTGAGTTTTGGTTAACATTAAAGAAAGGAGCCCTGGCAGCACAGTGGTTAAGCTGGTTGGCTGTTAACCAAAAGGTCAGTGGTTCCAACTCACCAGCCCACTGCTCGGGAGAAAGATGTGGCAGTGTGCTTCTGTGTCAACTTGGCTGGGCCTGGTTGAGTGGCTGGGCAGCTGGATGTAGTTATTCCCCATGGTGAGACTGGTAATTATCTCCATGGTGGAATGTATGGGAGCAGCTGAGTAGCTGCCTTTGGGTATGTGGTCTGCTTCCCGTATATAAGAAGCAGCTTTGGGAATGGTCTCTAGCGTATGGCTCGCTTGGACCCTGCACGTAGCCGTGTTGTTGTTCAGCAGCCTGCCATGCTGTGCCGACCTTGGGACTTTCAATGGATTTGAATTAATAGCCTGCCATGTGGTTTGGTAACATGGGAACTGTGCCATTTTATTTATCAACTTTGGGCTTGTCAGCTTCAGCAGCCAGTAGCTGCCGAGTGAAGAGATGCCTCTAGCTTCCGTGGGCCGGAAGCAAGAGGCAGAGCTGAAGCCCAAGGTCGAGGGGCTTTCACACAGCCCCTAGAGCCTGGCACTTTGAACTCAGACTCCCAGCCTTCTGAACCGTAAGAGAATAAACTCCTGTTTGTTCAAGCCATCCCATTTGTGGTATATTCTTGTCAGAGCAGCACTAGATAACCAGAACAGCTTCCATAAAGATTTGCCCGTCAAAGGGAGAATAGTGAGACTTCATCTTGTGTACTTTGGACATGTTATCAGGAGAGACCATTTCCTGGAGAAGGATATCATGCTTGGTAAAGTAGAGTGTTAATGAAAAAGAAGACCCTCAAGGAGATGGATAGCCACAGTGGCTACAACAATGGGTTCAAGCATAGCAACAATTGTGAGGACGGTGCAGGACCAGGCAGTGTTTTGTTCCATTGTACACAAGGTCACTGTGAGTTGGAACCGACTTGACAGCACTAAAAAACTACATGCCGCAAAGTAGACAGGGACCCACATTCACCCTTTTGCTGTTTGTAAGACAGCATCTTTGCTCTTGTCCGTGGTAGTGTCATCCATCATATCTCAGCTTCTGTAGGAATTGCCACACAAAGAAAATAAAATTCCAAGCAGTCAGGAAGAAAAATACATCTCTTAGCCCATGGGTTATATCACATCTGCCTTCTGAGAAATCCTTCATCTTTTTACCAACCTATTTTCATGAGCCCTACAACTTTAAGAAATGAGCAAGAAAATATAAATCAAATAATCCAGAATTGTATTTGACCAATTTACCAAATTATAATGTACTGAAAACATCATAAATAACAAATCAAACTTGTTTCTATGCCACTTGTCATTTAATTGTTTGGGATCAACATAGCCAGTCACTAAGCAAACCATTGGGTAAAAGATTGGTCACCCATTACCTTGATAGTTATGTGGTATTAACTTTGCATAGTGAAAAGGAGCTCTGGTAGTGCTGTGGTTAAAGCATTTACCTGATAACCAAACAGTTGGTGGTTCAAACAGATCAGTTTCTCTGTGGAAGAAAGACGAGGCAATCTGCTAACTGTACCCTGTCCTATAGGGTCACTGTGAGTTGGAATCAATTCAATGGCAGTGGGTTTGGTTTTTTGTTTTGTTTTGGCTATTTTTGACTGAGAACCTGGATTAAAGACTTCAAGAGATACTGTTATCAATAAGAAAATTGGATAATTTAGTAAGAATAGGACTGGGAGAAAAAATTGGATTGACTCTTCTATAGAACTTGTGTAACAATTGTAAAAATTATGTAATAATGCTTTGTAGTAAATTGGACCGTCTCACTTTTCTTTCTACCCATCCTTTCAAATGTATGTTGGAGGCAGTTCTGCAGAGGGGAAAACAGTTTATAAAGATGACATTTCTATTCTCTGCAAATGTTGACAGGGTTGCACTAAATTTAATATGAACAGATGTTACATATTTCTATTTTTATTGTGGAACTTTGTAACTAATATACCATTAAAATGTTGCCTTCCAGGCTGCCAGAAATTGTCTAGTAAATGAAGCAGGCATTGTGAAAGTGTCTGATTTTGGAATGGCCAGGTATGACTGAATATATGTAACATTGTATGTAAATTTTAGATAAAATTGATATGTAATGCTGACTTTGCCCTTGAAAGTACTGGAAGTGTGACTTTTTTCTTTGCTGTTTGTATCAACTTCTTCCTCTGATGTCTTTTTAAAGACGATTTTGAAACTGTATCTTTTGTTCCATGAGCAAAATATTAGTAGTAGCCATCATTTTTATATAGTAGAATCGATTGCTTTTTCTGCTTCTTAGTATGTTTGTGATACAGAGTATTAAAGTAAATTAAATGATCAATATTTTGAAAGTTCTTCGCAGAATTTTTTCATTTTGCTGTTAACTTCAGCTGATCTTTCGCAGATAAACTGTTGAGAAAGAATTATTGCTAATGCTTTGGTGTATGGGTTTAAGTGATTTTCACATTACTTTGCAGAATTAATAAATGTGAGAATAATCTGATCAAATGCTTACCCAAACCAAAGAAATCTTTTTTATTGTTCTGAGATATATAAATTCATTAAAATAACCAAGTATACATTGTAATGTTAATAATTCCTTCCACTAGGTGGTAGTATAGTCCGTTAAATACGCTACTTTCTCCCTTCTCTCTCTGGTGTGATTGTTTTCACAGAAGTGTCTTTGGGGATAAAGTTCTTAGTATATCCATATCTAGGAGCTCTGGTAGCATAGTGCCTAAAAATTGGGTAAAAGATTGGTCACCTATTACCTTGATAATTGTGTGGTATTAACTTAGCATTTGACTGCTAACCAGAAGGCTGGTGGTTCAAACCCATCCTCCACTCCTTGGAAGGAAGGTTGGGCAATCTACTTCTGTAGTGATACCACCTCAGAAACCCAAGGAGGGGTCTCTATGAGTTAGATCCAGCTCAATGGTAGTGATAAGATAATAATATATCCATACCTGCATGCTCTTATTCTCCTAATTTTTGTAATTTTAATAAAATGTTAGGGAAAAAAAAAACCTTTTAAAAGTAGTTTGTCCTTGTTTACCTCCTTCCCCCTTCTCTCTCTCCATCCATTCATCCATCTATCATCACTAATTAGGTGCCTTCTATGGGAGCTCTGGTGGCATAGTGCCTAAGGCATTGGACTGCTAACCAGAAGGCTGGCAGTTAAAACCCACCAGCCACTCCTCAGAAGAAAGACTGCGCAATCTACTTCTGTAGTGATACCACTTCAGACACCCAAGGAGGGGTCACTATGAGTTGGATTTGGCTTGATGGAAATGACTTTGGTTTTTGGTAATGTGCCAGGCACAATGTTAGGCTGGATCATAGCATAGAGCAAGACATAGGAGTTCCTGCCCACGTGCAGCATACATTCAGGAGAAGGGAGAAACATAAGATCTGAGAACATATTTTTTAACCAGATCATGATATGTGCTAAGGTGCGAGGGGAAAGGACAGGATGATGGGGTGGTGCAGGGGTCTGTGGACCAGACCTGTCCCATCACCTCTTTTTGTACTATCTGTGAGCCAAAAAAGTTTTTCATGTTTTTAAAAGGTTGGGGAAAAAATTAAAAGAGGAATATTTTATAGCCCATATACGTTATTTGAAATTCAAATGTCAGTATCCATGAATAAAGTTTTATTGGGACAATCATTCATTTATGTATTGTGTGGCTACTTTCACACTATAATGACAGAGATGAGTAGTTGTCACAGAGATTGATGGCCCACGAAGCCTGACATAGTTACTGTCTTGCCCTTTACAGAAAAAGTTGGCTGACCCCTGTCATAGCAATAACTTGGGGATGTTGACCCTGTCTGATAGGTTTGGGGCAGGAATGATTTCTTTGAGATGAAGATATTTAGATGGAGACCAAATGGTAGGAAGTAGTCAGTTACATGAAAATTGGGAAATAAAATATTCCAGGTGAAAGGAATAGCAAGTACAAAAGCTTGAAGTTTAGGACACTTTGGCCTGCTCAGGGAACTGAACAAAGGCCAGCATGGCTTGCGTGGTGCCAGTCCGAGGAGCAGTGTATGAGACAAGTTGTAAAGACAAGTAAGGATCAAGTCTTATCAGGCCAAATTTAGCTCCGAAGGAAACTCAAGCCCAGGGAGGTTAGAAAGCTGTAGAACTTTTGACTCCCAAGGTGTTAATCACCCAGTGTTGTTTAATTGTTAAAGTCCCTGGGCATGCAAATGGTTCACATGCTCAGCTGCTGACTGAAAGGTCAGAGGTTTGAGTCCAGCCAGAGGCACCTTGGAAGAAAGACCTGGTGACTGCTTCTAGAACATCAGCCATTGACAACCCTGTGGAGTGTAGTTCTATTCTGTGGAGTGAGCTTGATGGCAGCTGGCTGGCTCTTTATTTGCTTTGTGTAAAGGTGTTCTGTGACTGAGTCAAGGCAGTCCTCGACTTTGATGCATTCTGTTTTCATTTGTTTGGCTTCAACCAATCTGTGCTTTTGCATCAGTTCCTCTAAAGCACGTTGCCTACCCTAAATTCCTACTCCCCTGACTGACATACACGTTGGTCCAGTTCTTGGTGGCACTGCCTGCCAGCCAGCAGTTTCCTTGTGTGCTGACTCCACATCTTTGTCCATAGAGCAGAGGAAGCTTGTTCAATTATTTGAAGGTTTTTCTTTTTTTTGGGGGGGGGTGGTTATTAGAAATTAGCTTTAAATGAATATATAATATATAAATATGTTCTGCTTGTAAATACATACTGAAGTATTATAGAAAGGGGTGAAGTCCTCTTTATATCACCCCTAATCAAAAATTCTCCCAGAGGTAACCACTGCTACCCATTTATATGTAGCTCATGTTCTGTGTTCACATAGAAAAAATATGCAGTGTGGTTTTAAGTGTGTGTGAGTGTGTATGTATATGGATGCCATGTATGTAAACGTACAGTCTACCATTTACAAGCATTACTGTGCAACCTACCTTTTTCACATGCTGTAGTTTTCAGGTAAGGATCCCTAGTGGCACAGTGGCTAAGCACTTGGCTGCTAACTGAAAGGTTGGCTATTTGAACGCACCTACTGCTCCACTAGAGAAAGACAGGGCAGTCTGCTTTCATGAGGATACAGCCTTAGAAACCCTATGGGGCAGTTATACTCTGTCCTGTAGGGTCCCTGTAAGCAGAATTGACTCAACAGCAGTGGATTTTAGCTTTCTAACTATGTTCTGTGGGACATGGGAGCTAAATGCACAGAACATTGCCAGACCGTGTATGCCACTTCCTTCAGATGTTTTATGTGCTCAGTTTTTGGGTAAAATTTGATTTTAAGGGACAAAACTTACTTACAAAAAAAGTTTGCAAACTTTTATTGCAGAATGCTATATTACTTTATTAAAAATAAAGATAAAGAGGAAAATGAAAGTGCAGATACCAGTGTTACGATGCATGTTTCACATGCACTTAAATAAAGCTGAGAGGAAGATGGAAATCATAGGCATAGCCACAGAGGTAAACATTTAGTTTCAACCGGATGCGTGTTGGACTTTAGTCAGTCTACTGTGTTTTTGATTGTAAGAGAGAGAGAGAGAAAATGAAAGAATGTCTATAGAATGCAGATTGTACCTCAGAGCTCATGCTGTGTCTCCCTCCAGGTATGTTCTGGATGATCAGTACACAAGCTCTTCGGGGGCTAAATTTCCTGTGAAATGGTGTCCACCTGAAGTGTTTAATTACAGTCGCTTCAGCAGCAAGTCAGATGTTTGGTCATTCGGTATGTCCCATTGTCTATGTTTTCTCAAGACTACTCTGAAGAAGTGGATATACCATTGGCTCATCCTTATCCTTTTTCAGGTGTTTTAATGTGGGAAGTATTCACTGAAGGCAGAATGCCCTTTGAAAAAAACACCAACTATGAAGTGGTAACCATGGTTACTCGTGGCCACCGACTCTACCGGCCAAAGTTGGCATCCATATACATTTATGAAGTGATGCTGAGGTGTTGGCAGGAGGTATGAATTTTTGTTGTTTGTTTGCATTTATTTTGAATTTCTAGAACATTTAGGGATCTGGGCCTGGGAGATGGAGAATGTGTAGTTTTACAACTCACTGAGTGGGTACCCCACTGAGTGGGTACAGGGAGCTCTGGTGGTGTAATGCCTAAGGCACTTGACTGCTAACCAGAAGGCTGGTGGTTCAAACCCACTAGCCACTCCTCGGAAGGAAGTTTGGGCAATCTACTTCCATAGTGATACCACCTTAGAAACCCAAGGGGGGGTCGCTATGGGTTGGATCTGACTCCATGGCAATGGTTGCATTTTGCATTGAGTGGGTACATATTTCATAGTGGTTTCAAACTCTAGATCAGAAGCCAGTCCAATTGATTCGGTCCTGAATGGTGAAAGGAAGAATGTGAAGAAGTAGAAAATGCTGGTCATTAATTCAGTAAATACAGGTCACTGGCCCACTCCAAGTGGGTATCTTGGCACAGTTGCCTGGTTTTAGGGACTCAGAAATAAACTCCTTTCATTGAGCTCCTATGCAGTAGAAACATTACTTTTTCACTTGACAAGATTTCTTTCTCTAGACCCAACTTCCCTAAGTCTCTTCTCTTAGAGTTTTTGGAAGTTTTCCTTGCTCATGTATTGAAATTTTACCTCATAGAAGACATTCGAGACCAAATGACTTTGAAAGTTAATACCATTAGCTCAATTGTACTGAGTGTTTTAGATTTATTATCTGATTAAATCCTCAAAATAACCTTTGAGGTGTAGGTACATTCACTGTTACCACTCTATAGAGAAGACCAAGACTCATGAAGTTGATTTTATGCAAGGCCATTTAGCTGCAGAGCAACAGAGTCCTGCCTGACTCAAAAGTCCCATTTCCATAATTTGCTATAATGCCTCGTGAGAACATTGGAATGGGCAGTTCTGGGCAAGAGGTGGTGTTGGGGGAGAGAGAACAGTGTTAGCAAAGTTGAGGAGGAAGAAAAAACATGACACATGTACACAAGAGTGGAGCTTGGTCTGATAGAAAACAGAGGGCCCATGTGAGGATGTTTGTAGGAAATGAAATTGGGTGGAAGAGCACTACAACTGAGCAGGGTTTGATTTGGCAGGCAATAAGGAGCTTTATTCGTTCCCAGATTTTCACATTGTCCAAACTCACACAGCTAAGCACTCATGGCTTTGGGCCTGGAACGTGCAAGTGTCTCCAAGTAGGTCTGTCTCTGCCATAATCCATCCTGCACCTACTACTGCTGGATTCATCTTCTTAAAACACTGCTCTTACATGCTGCTCAAGAACCTAGTAAAGCTAGTTGCCCTCGAGTCAATTCCAACTCATGGTGACCCATGTGTTGCAGAGTGGAATGGCCCCTATAGGGTTTTGTTGTTGCTGTTGAGAAAATACACAGCAAAACATGCACCAACTCAGCAGTTTCTACTGTACAATTCAGTGACATTGATTACTTCTTCAAGTGGTGCAAATATTCTCACCTTCCTTTTCTGCTTTGCTTTCCCCATTAACATAAATTCATTTCCCTCTAAAGTTTCTGTCTAATCTTTTGAGTTGCTGTTGTCAATTTCATGCCACATAGATAGAGCATAATGCTCGTAGCAGACAGTTTTTACTAATGCAGCTAAACTATTGTTTGGTTTTAAGAAGACATCAGCCTCCACAAGATTTGAAGGTTGTGACCTTAAGCAGATCTCCAGACCTTTGTTTCCTGGAATATCTGAATGGATTCAAACTGCTATCCTTTTGATTGGTAGCCCAGTGCTTAGCCATTTGTGCCACCCAGTCCCAAGCAATGAGTGCTTCACTGTAGCATGCTATGTGAGTTTGAGCAATGAGAACATGTTGGAATAGATTCTGGAACCCACAGCTTCTCTCTTTGATTTTTAATTGTAGAAACCAGAAGGAAGGCCTTCCTTTGAAGAGTTGCTGCGCACAATAGATGAACTAGTTGAGTGTGAAGAAACTCTTGGAAGATAAAGTGGTGTTGTGACCAGTGGCTCCCAGATTCAAAAGTATGAGGAAGAAATGGCACTTTGTGGTTTTTAATTTATTCAGCACTTGGACGTGCAGATTGTTTTAATTATAAAAGCATTTGCTTCCAGTCCAACTTTAACTCCAAGACTGTGATGAAATCTTCCAGATTATGGAAATGCTGCCTTAGCGATTGTGATGAAAAGCACTCACTCTCATTCATTCCACAGGCACTTGAGTGCCCATCGTGTGCCAGACACTATGCTCAGACTCCAGGGTTTTCCCATTGTAGGGCTGCATATGGGGCCATGTTATCTGGTGCTAGTAGGAGGCCAGGGTGTTTGGGGGAGGGGAAGGATATTAGAGGCATGTTCTAGCCACCCCTCTCCTCCTTCTGACTCCTGCAGAAATCTGGGCCTAGGGCATTGTCTACAATGTGGGTTCTGGCTGAATCAGGAACTCACCTCTGATAAGTACCCATGTTTTGTTTTGAAAATAACTCTGTTTTCAAGACTGCTGTTAGTATTACACTGAAAACTGTGTGTATGCTGTATATATTGTAAATATATGTAGTATATAAAGTTATATATTTATAAGAAACATAAATTGTCTTTTATTTGAAACTTTTAATTCAGTAATATATCAGCTGAACTTCTTAGAATGGGGGACTGTGCTTTCCACTGTCAATCCTTTTCCTCTGAAGATCACGTATTCCCTACTGAAGAAAAGTAATCTAGAGCCTTCTATCGTTGATACTCCTGCCTCACTCTGGTGGATTCATTTGGGAATACCTGTACTCCATCACAGGAGCTCTGGTGCAGTGCCTAAAGGATTTGACTGCTAACCAGAAGGCTGGCAGTTCAAACCCACCAGCCACTACTCGGAAGGAAGGTTGGGCAATCTACTTCCATAGTAATATGGCCTTGGAAACCCAAGGAGGGGTTACTATGAGTCGGATCTGACTTGATAGCAGTGTGTTGTGTTGCATTATGTTTTGCGTACTCCATCGCAAAACATACACACATTTTAACGGAATTATAGCTCATTCAAGAAACTTGTTGTAAGTAAGCTTCATACTATACCTGCATACTTTTCTACTTACTTCCTTATGTAGTAGTAGTATAGATTTGATAAATTTGATAGTAGTAGAAGAAATTATGCCTTTGAATTATGGTGTTGGTGAAGAATACTGAATATACCATGGACTGCCAGAAGAACAAACAAATCTATCTTGGAAGAAGTATAGCCAGAATGCTTCTTAGAAGTGAGGATGGCAAGACTTGTCTCAAGTGCTTTGGACATGTTATCAGGAGGGAGTAGTCTTCACAGGAGTACATCATGCTGAATAAAGTAGAGAACTAGCAAAAGGAAGACCCTTAATGATGTGAATTGATACAGCGGCTGCAGTGATGGGCTGAGGCATGGCAACGCTTGTGAGACTGGCCCAGGACTGGCATTGTCTCCTTGTGTTGTACACAGGGTTGCTGTCAGTCGGAACCAACTCAACGGCACCTAACAATGGTAGTAGTAGTATTCCTACTCCTCAGTCTATTATATTTTTCTTTTCCCTTTTCATCTTGAGGAGATGTGTTAAGTGCTTGCTAGGTGATGTTCAAGATAGTGAAAGAAAAGCTATAGTCCTTTCCCTAACACTCACTATCCTTTTGCTATTCCCAGACGTTACCTGGCCATGTCTGTAAATATTAAAGAAATCTTTAAATATTTCACTAAAACTTTGATAGAAAGCTTTTATCTGTAGACTCCATGTGTTGCATATGAAATCCCCTGTTCCATGGGATTTTCATGGCTGTAATCTTTACAGAAGCAGTGTACCAGGTCTTTCTTCTGTGGCACCACTGGGTGGGTTCAAACTGCCAACCTTTAGGTTACCAGGCATCACAAACTGCTTGTGCCACCCAGGTATCTATAAAACAAAGCAAAACAAAAAAACAAACTCACTGCTAATGAGTTGATTCCGACTCATCCAATCTCCACTGGGTTTTGAAGGCAGTAAATCTTTACAGAAATAGATTGCCCCATCTTCTTTCCACTGAGTGGCTGGTCAGTTTGAACTGCCAACCTTCTGGTTAGCAGTCAAAAGCCTTAGGCACTGCACTACCAAAAACCAAAAAAAAAAAAAAAAAAAAAAAATCACTGTTGTCGAGTTGGTTCCAACTCATAGCGACCTCTCCTTGGGTTTCCAAGGTGATATTTCTACAGAAGTAGATTGCTGAGTCTTCCTTCCGAGGAGTGGCTGGTGGGTTTGAACTGCCAGCCTTCTGATAGCAGTCAAATGCCTTAGGCTCTACGCCAGCAGACTAAGGCAAACATGTAAAGCAAAAATAGGATTCACTCAGAATGCTAAATAGATCTTAGTTTATAAGACAGTAAATAGGAAAAGATGATATCAATGTTCTGTCTTTAGGAAAAGTTGTTCCTTTTTGGTTATATTTTCTGATGGGATGAAATGAAACTTCCAGATGGGTTTTGTATTATTGATGTTTTTGTATTTTTGGCCATGCCCCAATCACCTTTTAGATGTGCTACTAGATTGGCTTTCCCTCTCTCCATAATAAAGTTCCTAATAAGGTTCCAGAAGCGTCAGTACAAGCAAGAGGCCAAAATATTCTAGACTTAGTACCACAAACCTGGAATCTAATTCTGATTCGACTACTAACTGTGTGGCCTTAGTAAAACTATGTGTGGCTCCATTTCCTCCTCTGTTGAGAGAGGGCAGTAGGATCTGTTGAATTTTAAGGTCCCTTTCACCCTAAAATTTGGGAATTGCTTAAAAACATTTCTTGGAGTCACTCAGAGGCAGTTGGGAAGAGGAACTGCAGCAACCCTCCTCACAGATGTAGATGCAGATTATTAAGCCTTCTTAAATGGGCTATCTGCTAGGCAGGCACCCACTGCTCTTGAGGTTTTTAGAACAGGAAAATAGGTGGGGTTAACTTTGCCTGTGAGAAACATCTTGGTCGAGTTATGATTTCAGTTCAAAGATGTATGTGTTTTTGTGACTTGAGCAGTACTGAAGAACTCAAGCCCGCCTTGTGTACCCTGCAGAGTGCAGCCATGATTCTTTCCACCTGTAAGTAAAATGGGCTTTGTCAGTTCTTTGCAGGCGGCATGGTAGTTATTCAAGAACATTGTTGTTATGTTGTTATTTATTGGACCAGAGATTTTTCTAAGCCCTAGGACTGGTGAAGTTTGATGATCATTTCCCTAGATGTTGTAATAGGGTTTTGTTTGCCTGTTATTTTAAAAAACGATTTGTGGTAATACAATTGCTTTTTAGTAAATGTTCAACATCAAGGACACAAAACAAAATGTTGTTGTTGTTACGTGCCATTGAGTCGGACCCAAGACATAGCGACCCCTCCTTGGGTTTCCAAGGTGGTATTACTAGAGAAGTTGATTGCCCAACCTTCCTTCCGAGGAGTGGCTGGTTAGCAGTCAATTGCCTTAGGCACTATGCTACTAGAGCTCCTATCAAAACAAAATAGGGTCCATAAATCTGAATGTGTGTGTAGAAATGCAGTCAGCTTGAAAAGTGTCTGTTTTTGAAAACTATTTATTGTAAAGAACTCAGGGCTGAAGACCAGGAGACCAGACTCTCATTCTGTATTTGCTCAGACTTGGTGGGTCACTGTTAGAGACTGAACTGTATCCCCCAAGAAGAAGTGTGGTAAATCCTAACTTCTATGCCTGTGGCTACAGTCCTACTGGGGAATGGGTTGTCTTTGGTGTGTTAATTAGGCAGGAGTATTATAGGGTATATTTTGAATCAATCTCTTTTGAGATATAAAAGAAATTACCCAAGGGAGCAAGCAGAGATGAGGGAAGACTGATGCCAAGCCTCTGTGATCTCCAAGGAACCAGAGAACAAGTTAAAGAGACACAGACCTTCCCAGAGAGCCGGAAGAGAAAGGAAGCCTTCCCCTAGAGCTGGCACCCTGATATTGGACTTCTAGCTTCCTCAACTGTGAGGAAATAAATTTCTGTTTGTTAAAGCACCCCATTTGTGGTATTTCTGTAAGAGCAGCATTAGATAAGTAAGACAGTCACTTCAGCGGGTTTTGTAAAATAGAGACTCCTTTTTGTCCACCTCTTAACCAGATATCATAAAAAAAAAAAAAAAAAA